AAGGAATTGTTCGACGCGACCTGTCTGCATTGTTAAATCGTATGATCGGGTTTTTGGGGGTTGATGTCTACTCACCAATCGTAGTGCCTCGCTGTAGGTCCCATGTTGCGAGGGACTTCAATGTACGCCCTACGATGGCGGCGAAAATAATCGGGAAAATTGTAGGCCCCTGTGAACGTATTAGCCCACCAGTCAGGCAGTGAAGCAGAGCATATTATGCACATATGATGCAGCTAGCAGTAGTGTTTTTTCCTGAGACCCCTCCGTCATCGGACGATTATCGCTTGTTAAGACTATTAAAGAGAAAACGATAAAGCCAATAGCTACGAGCACTAATATAACATCGGTCAAGTGCCCAAAGTAACGTGCCTTGGAGGATCGGGGTCTGTGAGGGCCTGGGAGTTGTGGTAGAGTCTCGACGGGGTCATTGTGCCCTTCGGTTTGGCTACTGGCTCGTTGTGACTCGGGCATAATGATAGTGATACGTCAACGAAATTCTCAACTTTGAGCTGATGGAAGTTGAGATTCTAGGAGGAACTGAGGAGTTTGAGGGTCCTTCATATAATCCGCACTTACAGAGCCTTGGCTCTATGCATATGGGTGAAAAGCACTATCAACCTTGGCATCCTAACAACTAAAGCAGCACTTGAAAAAATTAAATTGGACGGATGTAGGATGAGAGAAGGTTACATGTGACGATGCACCTTTGTCAGCCGGCCGGTTACATAGCAGCAGGCTGCGGCTCGGCGACAGAATGCTTGATTAATCGTCTGGCATAGGCGTTGTTGCTAGAGATGGCTCTAGCTCTCTTTCCGTCCCAGTAGGCTGTTTTAGGCATCGTTGTCATGTGAGTGATGAGGACTTTGGCTGAAGTTGTTTATTAGCTTAGAGAGTCGGCCACGATATGCGATGTTGTTTGACATATCGCTTGCCAATGGCTAAGAAGTCATATTTTAGGATTTGAAGAAGAAACCAGAGTTGGATCTGCCTACCTCTCCCGGTGCAGCAGCTTACCTGTGAGATAGATAACGGGGGAGCCAACAAGCTGGCTGTGTCGGATTTAATTCGGAGTCCAATGTTGTAGCTGTTGGGGGCCGAGCTGGAAAACCTCCTTTACGCAAGACACTTAGATAATGATCAACGCAACAATAACTGATTGAACCTCAATTGGTTCACTGCATTATATAATGATACCTTCCTACTAATAATAAAGAAGTAGTAATCCAGCCCCCAGCTCCTGAATGGGAGTAAGGAACATGGGTTATGGTCGGCATTTTAGAAAGGAAAAATGATTGGCTAGGCGTCAGCACGGGAGGAGAGAAATATTGGGGCTACGGATAATGCCTAACCGCCCCTTTCCGGTATACTATGATTTAGGGTGTTGAGAAGGGGGTTTAAAGCCCTGCGAAGCTGAACAAGTTCGTAGTTGGGACTCGTCTAGGATATTTGCGATTGAAGCTGTACTTTTTTCTAATCCGAAGGCAAATGGGATTGAGCATGTAAAAGCGTCAAGGCGGTGATCCAAACCCGCATGTTCTATCGCTCCCGTGACTCGCTACAAATACATAATAGTGTTCCGTTCTTTATTGGCTGCAATCCCAGCATTCGTGAGCTTCCACACAGTCGCCAACGAATGCTCCTCATCATCAACAACCGCGACTATGAGCATAATACCCTTGTCGCAGAAACATCGACCCCACCCTTCTGCCCCTCTCGGGATCACCAGCTTTTTCACAGCTGAGTTAGCTTTGCCGTTCAATCACACTACTCCAGACAGGCTGTTCAGAATAAGGGAAAGTTTTACGTACATGAGTGTCGCGAGGTGATAGTCGAGCTTCTTGCGACGATGACTGCAGAGACGATGGTCGCGCACGAACTAATAATTGCGGCTATCACAGAGGGCCACAGCCCCTCGTAGAGTGGTGAATCCATTGCACTTCTACCAAGTTGGCTCACGTCGCGGTGTGGAATACTGCGAAATTTGGGGAATGAGGGGTGCGTATGGCCGTTTGGTAAACAGATGGCCTGGGATGACTGACGCTTTGGTGGGTGTCTTGGTATGGGTACCAACGAATTCTTGTGTCAGCGGCGACACGGTTTATACATATATACCTAAGAAAAAGAGTATCGGAGCCTCCCTCTCGGCCACATGGGCGACATAGCCACAGGGCTCGGAGTCGAAATACTGTCGTCACCTAGCCAGTTCTGATAGCAACTTCGAGAGCCTGAACATGGGTACTGTTGGTTTCATAGTTTCGTAGTTTTGTGTCTTCTTTGGGAGCTAGATAGAGGTAGCATTCAGTATATACCTCCTCCAGGATCAGGAATGTTAGTCTCCCCCAGGATTAGGAATGCTAGTTTGATACAAAGGACCCGTATTTTACCGCATCGAGTACACGCTTCATAGAAAACCCCCCCGGCAGGCCGGCTTAATCCCCTGTGCGGCTACTTAAGGACCCTAGCTAACCAGCGATTTTGTACGTAGTATGTGTTCAAGTCTGGTTACCAAACTAACATTCCTGATCCTGGAGGAGGTACAGAGTATAGTAGTTTAGTGTGCTGACATGCCGCAAGGATCAAGCCACCAGGATCATCCCCCGCTCCCACTTTTGCCGATGGGGGGTATTACCCCTGTCGAAGGAAGCTTCGCTTTATTACCGGATCTTATAAGGGTCTCCTCTGCCCCAGAGGTGGTTTTACACTTCCAAACTCCAAAACTCCATGGCTTCTGACCTACGATGCTATCGACCACCATAATGAAACTCGAGAAGTCTTCTTTTGCCATCCTGAGGCGCAGGCAGATCATGCTCTCACGATTCCTCAGGATCAGCAGATCAACTGCCCAATTCAGGCATACGTCATATTGCCCACGCGGGGAATAGTAGGGGAAACTACGAAACTTGTGATGGACAACACTTGTGGACTATGTATGCCCTCCTCACCGAGCGTCATTTCGCGGCCCTTTCTTGGCCACGAGGTAGATATAGGGCCCTGCGACTTTGAGAAGCTAAGAAGTTCTTCGAAAGGGTTTGGATTTTCAAAGTTTTAGATGAGCCTGGTTGACTCAGGATTCAGCGTAGGTGCATCCACCGAAATAGCGCGCTCTATTCGCCATGAAATGGATCGGTTCGAGATTAAATATCTCGCCTTCCCCTACATCTGATTCTCTACTCGGTTCTCGTCATCACAAGCGCCGCAAATCACTTCACACACTCTAGCAAATTATTCACACACACTACCATGACTCCCGACACTCACCTGCGCGCCGAAGAGTGGCCTATCAAGGCGCTGATGTACACACGGCCCCTCCCGAACGATCGCTGGGAGAGTCGCATCATCTGCATGGTCACGCCCGGCGCCCTATGCTCTCAGGAGCATTACAAGACGACGGGGCAATACGAAAACCATCTGCTGAGATACCACCAGGTCGAAGTTCTGCAAGCACGACGTCAGTATTGGGCTGCCATGGCTGGCAACAACCAAGTTGCCCCCCCTCTTCTGAGCCCGGGTCACCAGGGCTTGGCTCAGCATTTCAACGGAGCTGCCCTACCCTTCGGCGTCGGCGCTCACCCGAGCCCGCGTATGACCTCGGCCGATATGAGAGTCTTGCCTTCGGTGGAGAGGGAGACCAGTATCTCCTCCCCCGCTACGCTTTATACGAGCCCAGGTTCGGGCTCAGGTAGTTTGGCATCTCCTCTTCCTCGCAATGGGACCATTGCTCCCTCCCCTAACCCACCCCTCATGCGAGAGTTAAACGGGGCCTCCCTCAGCCAATTGGGTATGCCCGGGCTCGCTCAGCCCGGCACTCCCCAAGGCACACCCATGAGTCCGATCAACGGACGCGCAGCGGCCGGTACGGGTGGAGGAGCCGTGGCGCCCAGTACGTCTCCGTTCGACTGGTCCCAGTTGTCTAACGACTATTACCCCTTTGCTGCCAACGGCGCCAACGGCAACAACAACGACAACAACTGCTTCTTCAGCCCCTTCGGCGCTTCGGGCTAAACATTCTGTTTTCTCTAGTACATGGAAAGGGGGGGACTTGGCCTCCTTGGCTTCGGGATGATGGCAGCTTTACAGTCCACTCGTTGGAATATTAGTAGAGCATGGAGGTCTTACACATGGGATTTGGGAGCATACGTCTTATTCATTCAGTCCTCCGTCTGTTTACTGCAGGGGAGGGGGCGAGGGGGTGTTGTTTACTTCATCTAGGCCTAATACGCTTAGTTAATGAAATGCGGTTCAATTAAGGTTCCACGGGAGTGTGACAGAGCCGCTTACTTACATTAATGTGCTCGTTCGCTTCCCTAGAATCAAAGTGTTAAGCGCCGGCTTGTCTCATTTCATGGTCCCTCTTCTTTAAACAACCAGTCGAGGCTTCTTTGGGGCCTACTGTCGTGGCACATGTCACCAGGAATTACTTCGCTTACGCCCTATATTTTCTGCTGTTATTTACCAATCGGCTAAGTATTTCGGAACAGAGAATGGAGTGCACGCGTCATTTGAGACCTACAATGATCATACTTCAGGGCACACGAATAACAGTAGATAGTCTGCGAGCCGAAACTGAAGGTTCCGTAGGGCTCAGGGACATGGCAACATTGAATACGCTACGTTGTGCTCTGCTGACTTGTTGTGGCGGTACGAGGTTCCCACAGGTTCTGCCGCTTCTGGACGCCTTGTCTGAGGAGAGCGTGGTGTAGTAACTAACCTAATTACCTACGTCGTGTGATATTGCCTAAATTAATGCCAAGTATTTTCCTTTGCGTGAGAAAAATTACCGAGCTGTCATGCTTGGTGATCAATGAAGACTAGACTGCAGATAAAGCTGTATTGCGGAGAAAATCTACTTAGAAAGTATGGAGAAAGGTAGCAATAATCTAATCCTTGCTACTTTGTATAGTACTAACCTGGTGGGGAAAGATGGCTCTAAGTTTTGTCGCTCCACATTGCATGACCTATTTAACGACTGAAAACGTAGTTAGCATCATCAAATCAAGACTGGACCCATAGCTCAGCGGTAGAGCATCTGATTCCAGTAGTAACCATTACTGCCTCCAGAAGGTCATCCGTTCAAATCGGGTTGGGTTCAATTCCTACACGTTCCAGTCTATCGGCAGCAATGTCGAGCTCACCTTTTTCCTTAATGAAATTAATATCTTTTTTTCCTCCTCTATTTTAACTATACCAACGCATTATCCTTGCTTTGCGGATTTTGTGGCAAATCTAACCAATAGAAGGAGCTGTGGCGCAACGGCTAGCGCGTCGGATTCCAGTCCCGAAGGTTGTCCGCTCAAATCGGGCCAGCTTCAGGCCTCCTTTTTTTTCATTCCTCACTCCATATAGGACGGCCGGGAAAAAAAATTATCTTTTCGCCATCATGAAGATCTCATGGCGATTGTGTTGCTTGGCTGCTGCATCTTACGGATGTCTCAGTAAACCCGGAGGGGGTGGGCCAAGTGCGGGGCTGCAAGTGATAAGCCCACGCATATTCCTACATATAACACGGCTTGTCCGTGTCGCAGCCTCATATGCGTTGCGTATCTTAACGCGATACAATATGTTATTGCAAGTACCGTAATGAACCCAATTAGGAGCCTTGCCGTTTCTAATGAAATGCCGTCGATGACGCAGGCGCCCGACTGGTCTAACGGCTAGTTATCCGCCTGAAGTTGCGTAACGCACTGTCACGCGTACCGTAGGGGATACTACTATACATCAACACGGGTAACTAATGAACCGCCCTGTATGGTATCGCTGGCACCTAGCACACAGAGCCTTGTATCCGATACCGAACGAGATGTCATGAAACCGGTCGCTTCGTCGCCGGCTTCGGCGCCGCAGGAATCCCCAACGGCGTCGTCAATATCGTCTCCCGCCATGCCCCGCTCCACAAGCAGCCCGGTGGGTGGGATCGGCTTAGTTTATAGCGACTATGCTGACGTGGTTGGCTACCTCGCGTTGATAGGTTTGTTGATGGGCAGTAAGTCCGATGATGCTATGTAGTGCGCTCAGAGTAGCCCATGTTGACGAGGAACATATAGTTAGCCTCCTCGGACTCGCTGTAGGCCCGTTGATCGGGGGCGCCTTCGCATCTTACACCACGTGGCGTTGGCGTACGCTGCCCGCAATCCTTCGCCCTCTTGCATTATACTCACGGGGATAGGTTTCTATGTAAATCTGCCAGCTGGTGGCTTGGCAGCGATCGCCATTGCTCTCTTACGTCTACAAGGAGAGGCAGAGAAGCCCAAAGCGTGGTCTCTAATCCCGAAACTACACCGTCACCTAGATCTAATAGGCTTTTTTCTCCTTGCGCCGGCTACTTTGCAGCTCATTCTCGCTCTTCGATTTGGCGGTGTGAACTATCCCTGGAACCCGTCGCAGGTGATCGGCCTTTTCGTCGGGGCCTTTGCCACGGGGGTCGCCTGGGTTTTCTGGAACTGATACCGTGGTGAAGATGCTTTAATTCCTCGCGCTCTAATCGGTCGGGGTAGCGTCCTGGCCGCTGGACTGTATACCGCTCTGCGCATGTCAACGGTCTATGGGGCGATCTATTTTCTTCCCCTCTATTTCCAGGGGGTCAATGGAGCCAGTGCGCTGCTCAGTGCTGTGTAATATCTTCTGCCGATGATTCTAGCACAACTCTTCACTGCTGCTGCTGCTGCTGTTGCATGTAGGTCAGATGAGCATCTCTTGGCCTACGAGCATTGACAAACCGGCTATAGTAACTAAGATAGGCTACATAATATCTGTGGCTATCTTCTCGTTTATGTTCCTTTCCGTTGGGAGAGGCCTTTACTCCATCCTACAACCTGGCAGCTCAAGCGAAAAATGGGTCGGTTTCCAGATCTTTGGTGGTATCGGCTCCAGTGCTGGTTTACAGTTCGTCCTTTCCTAACAATCCGGCAAACATGTCTTTTTTTTTCTCGTTCATGGCTAACTCAATCTGAACTAGTCCATTACTTCTGTTCAGGCCGCTAATTATGGGTGGTAAAGAGCTCCCACCTGGCATCGCTTCTGTCATGTTCTGCCAGAATCTGGGCCCAACCATCGCGCTGACCCTTATGAACGTCATTTTTAGTTCGAGTCTGCCAAGAGAGCTCAGTTAGCCCGCGCCGCAGGCCGACGCCGCGGCCGTTATGTATGCCGGGAGCACTGGCTTCCGCCACCTTGTCTCGCCCGGAGAACTGGCGGGAGTACTACTCGCATATGCAACTAGCATCGACAAAGTATTCTATTTAGTCGCGGGATTTGCAGCGGCAGAGGGGGTAGCCGGGGGTTGGGGTGGCATGATCCCCGGAAAAAGGATGGGGGTACCAAATCGGAAGAGGAGAGCATGGATACCAACGGTCTAAAGCAGGAGGGAGAGAAGGCGGCCTAAGAGTTTCACGGGATTACACTGGGAAGACGAACTGTAACGCTAGGCTCCACTCCTTTTGAAAGGGGATCCGGGGTGAAATTTTCCACTGGGAGCCTTGTAGCCCAAATGCTATTATTTTATTCGAGAACATAAAAGCAAATATCTGCGTTATATTACTAGTGTAGGTAGTTAAGAACGCTTCCGTGTAACCTACAGACAAGCTTCTATTTACTATTTACTCTCTTTAGGTACCTAGATTGACCTATCTATTGAGTTAGCTACTTCCTTAACGGGCCGTCCGCGGCTATGCTGTCGCTGTTTACTTCGATAGCACCGGACCACCAAAACAAGACTACAACACATGGTCAGGCCCCCCTGCCGCGCAAAACCAAAGGCTAGAGCTAAGAATAAGACTATTAAGAGCAACAGAATTCTCTGTATGTGCGTGACATTTGATACAAACCGGTAAGGGGGCCAGCCGCAGGGCCATCCACACTACCTGCGCGCCACCTAGTCTGGTTAACCTGCCGAGATACAGCAACGTAATAGACTCTCACATTCACAAAACATACCATTCTTACATCCTTACTCTCGGATCGTCAGTGATGAAAAAGGGAGCTAATAAACGTTAAGTATTTTATTATTAAAATGTAGCTTCAAAGGGGTATCGTGCCTGGAGTTGGCGGTACAGTCACGAGAAGTAGATGGAATCAATGATACTCGTGTTACTTGTTAACGCCCCCGTGCCTACCGCAGGCACGTGCTAAAAGGGCTTGCGTTCAATGGCTTGGGGAACAATCAATGTCCTCGGTGGGGTAATTAGCTAGCGAGTCGTAAGTTATATTACAACGAAACGTACGTTTTGAAGTAATGCGTAACGGTAGGTCTCCTAGAAGGCGCTGTACAGGCACATCTCTACCTGGAGATTCTCGGCTCTCAGCATGGCCCATCAGATATTGAATATATATCGGTAGGTAACATGGTATATGTACGTAGCATACCAAGATGACAGACCTAGCGACATTGGGCAGCTTAGCTCTGCGAATCATGTACCTTCAAGATTTTGTACATTCCTACTTCAGGCGCTCTACGTTGGGCTTTAGTCGTCTTCCCTTGCGTCGTTGCCCTGCGTGCGTTGGGAGAGCGATCCTGGTCTTTCGCCCTCGTAAGGATACCGATGCCGTATAACCCGGACCCCCTTATACTTGTTACTGCCGGTATGTGTCGGTAATTAGATTTTCTCATGTCGAAAATCCGTTGAACCTAGCCCTAGTATCCTATTTGCTGTGTTCAAACCAAGGTTGAGACAGCGATCGCAGAAGTCGCCCGTGATCGGCAGTCTAGACACACCCTCGCTACCGAGATTGAGGTTCTGGTTGGGGCAGAAGATGGCAGTCGAAATCAAACGGCCCTGCCAAGACGTGCTTTAAGGTACGGATCAACGGATCTACGTAGGGCATTACTAGTACCGGCTTTAGTAGCAAGTGGATCTGACGACTGAGCGATCGTAGATGCACTATACTATACTCACTTATTGCCCCCTCCCCCACTAACACTGGCCCCCACCAAGATCGCCCCAGCAGAATCCAAGAACCCGGTCGGTGACTGGTAGTTTTGGGCCTGCTCCATATTCAGTTACTATACTAATAGGGCCTTAGCTATGTAGTCAATCACCACGAAGCCCCGGAAGAAGCCGGGGAAGTTCACAGTAGCCTAACCTAGGTAAGAATGGGTGGGGGAAGCCGAAATGGCGACGGTCAAGCGGAAGTCTGGTCCGGTGAGCCTTTAGCAATATTTAGGAGTGATTATGATCGGCATTGTCACAACTGCTGGTGTTTTGGAGAAATGACTTTGAGTTCCTACCTAAGGAGAGAGGTTCTCTTCTACTCGACTATGTTAGGGTTTCTCCTTATATAGACTATGTTGTGGCCCGTGCGATAGAAGCCGTTACACCCGTATTTGGGGGTGTTCTGGTTCTGGGACGGGCACCTACATAGGCGGCCAGTCACGTGAACGGTTAGACGTTAGATATTGCGCCCGGATGGAGTCTAATGTATCGATAGTGAGGTAAGTTTTGGGTGTGAAAATTACGTCTCGGGAAGCCATTAACCGTCTGTATTATCGTGCTATTGACGAATAAAGAAACGAGCGCTTGAATGCATTACCTTATGTCTCGTACTTAGCCATGGACGATATTTGAGGTCGATGGTAGTCCGGTCGCTAGGCAAACGAAATGAGAGCCACAATCACTGCACTCTCCATATGTGAAAACCGAGTATTGCAATTCAGCGGCAAGGTGTAAATGCTGCGGAGGATTCCGTTGGTGCTGTTTGATGTACCGAATCTAAACGCCATATAAGATGCTTATGACGATAAAAAAAAAACGACAGAACGACGACAGGATAAAAGGTGGGTATCATTAAGAGTATGTGGATTTAAGTTGGCCTAGATCATATTAGTAGAAGATCGACGCTAATGTCAGTGACGTGCTCTATTGCTATCGTGGGGAGAGTGGATAGAGGCGCCCCTGAACTACGGCTAATTGACATGCGGTCCAGCTGAGTTGGAAAAGCCCTAGTAGGCGTAGCAAACTACTTGAAGCTTAATCATAGAAGCCGTCGAGTGGTTAGGCAGCTAGCTCTCAAATGGAGCGAGTCAGACGGGAGTAACGCGAAAAAGAGACTTAATTACATACAGGCAGTAAGGTGACTTTATACCACTACTTACCTAGA